GCTCAAGGCAGTATCACCCCAAGGAAAGGCCTGAAAATGGAGACAACCACAGTTGTGACATGTCCTTAATCTGGTCCTGCAGGAGTCTCACCCTTTGTTCCCCTGAGGGAACATGGAATGGAGCTGTGACACCAGCTGTCACCACCTTATGTGACCAACCCAACAGCATAAGGATTTACTCCCACTTCAGTTTCAGCCATTAGGATCTACCCTTCACGGGGCATTTTGGCAAAATCCCTTTCCTCTCCCCTGTCACCATAAAACCAGAGCCCTTTCCCCAAAAGCTGCCCCCCCCAGCGGGTCCCCAGGCCCCGTGTGGCCCCACACACGCACCTTTCTTGCCGTTGTTGGAGGGGGTGGACTTCCCACTGTCCGAGTTGAGCTCGAAGACTCGTAGATCCGTGGGCCCTTCCTCCCTCAGAGTCTCTGTCCTGCCCTGGCCTTTGCTCTCCCCCTCTCTGAGCTCTGTACCAGCCGCTGGCTCCGAGGATGCTGCTGATTCCCGTGCAGGTGCAGAAGGCTGAGCAGGTTCTGGGAGCTTTGGCTCTTCCAAGGTGGCCTCCTCCAGCCTCTGGGAGAGGTCTGTGGTCCCGGCGGGGTGTGCTCCAGTCTGTAGCTGTGCAGCAGGCACAGAGGCAGGGTTTGCAATCTGAGTCACAAGGGACACGCTCTCACTGCTCTCCGAGGGGCTCAGCTCCGGGGGGAGCACGGCCCAGCTCCCCTCGGGGGGGCCCTGGGGAGCAGTGGGGTGGGTTCCCTCCGGGGCTGCCGGGGCGGGTTCTTTCTGTGCTGCTTCTGGAAATGTGATGTTTGCACAAGGCAGGGGTGACATCCCCAAGAACTCCTCTGTAGGGAGGCAGAAGAGAAGCGAGAGATGTTTCAGCAAGAGCAGCAGCAGCAGCTGGGCTGGGAGCTGGAGTTCACAGATTTCCTGAGCTGGAGGGGACCCACAAGGATCATCCACAGGACACCTCAACAATCCCATCCTGTCCCTGAGAGAGTTGTCCAAATGCTCCTGTAGCTCTGGTAGCCTTGGGGCCATGCCCACTACCCCGGGGAGCCTGTTCAGTGCCCAACCACCCTCTGGGGGAAGAACCTTTTTCCCGAGATCCATCCCAACTCCCCTGGCACAGCTCCAGCCGTTCCCTGGGTCCTGTCACTGTTCCTCCGCTGCCCCTCATGATTTGTGGGAGCGAGGAGGAGGCACCCACATAGCCCCAAAATCCACCTTCATCAAGACCCACCTTCATCCTCCTCCCAGCCTGGCTCCTCTTGGTGCATGCTCTGCTCTGCTCGCTGCTTCAGAGCCTCCCTCCGGGCTTCATCCTGCAGGGAATTCCCCGTCAGCAGCCACACACGTCCCCAGCCCCTTCCTCCCCATGGCACTGCAGCATCACTGACCACAAGAAGGCAGCCAAGGCACCCTGCTTTTTCAGGAAAAGCCTCTGCTGTGCCCTGGAGGGCTCCTTGGCTCCCCCAGGGAGCCCCCCCAGCCCGGGACCCACCTGCTCCAGGCGATGCACTTTGTAGAAGTAGCGCTGCCAGAACTCGGAGTGGGAAACAGCCACAGGGACCTGGAATGGGATGAGCTGCTTCAGAGGGAGGGCTGCAGCTGCTGCCGTGCTCCTCCCTCCTCCCAGGCCTTGCAGCCACCCCCCTGCACCGTGTTTTCAGGTGCACAGACTCGGGGCCAAGCCTCAGGCAAGATGCTCCAACACGCACTGGGTAGTTCCAGAGGAACTCCTGTGCCAGGCCTGTGACAAGTATGGAATAAAACTACAAGCTGCTGCCTAATCCCCATGCAATCACAGTGATTTCCATACCAACCCCAGGGCCCAGGCAGCTCAGGGCTTCCCTGCAGCACTCCCCAAGCGAGGAATTGCCCACAGGAGCCAGGCAGGGCCTCACTCACCATTTTGGTGTAGAGGGCCCGGATAGACGGGCTGGTTGCCAGCAGCTCTGCCACCTCCCCTTTCTTCTCCTCCAGGCTGAACTGAGCCAGCCAGGCCTCCAGCAGCTCAGCAGGGCCTATGTGGGACAAGCACAGGGATAACAGGCCTTGGCACAAACAAGCAGGAAGAGTTTTGGGAGGTTTAACTGGAAAGATGCTGCTGGGGCAAAGGGGGAGGGAGACATGGGGCCCACATAAGAGCACCAGTTTAAACTGGGCCAGTAAATTCAGCCTAAGCTGGTCCCTAACATAACAGACAGATGTGCTCTCCATGACTGGTGATCCTAGCTGCAGGCCAAGCCAGCAGCCTCTCTGGGGAATTCCAGATGGATTCCAGACCCCCAGCTGGGCTGGGCAGCACCCCAGACCACCCCCCCAGACCCCCCCATACCATCAGGCTCATTGCAGTAGGTGGCTGGGTCGGACTGGAGGCTGTAGAGACGAGCCTGGAGGAGACACACAGGGCAGAGCTGTGAGGGGAGGGGCAGCAGCAGAGCCCCAGGGACAGGGCACAGGACTCCACATCCCCGAGCTTCCCTCCAGGAATAGGACACTCACCTTGGCACTGTCGTAGGGCTCGGTGGTACCTGAGGGTGTTGCCATCAGAGTTATAACGTCACAGTCGATGGTCTTGTCTGGTGAGGGGGCAAATGTGTCCGAGATGACCCCCAGGAAGTCTGACAGTCCCTTCCTCACCTTCTCAGTGGCACCTGAGGAACCTTCCGTCCTCTTTAAGAGAGGAATCAGCACAGGGTCAGTGACAGTCCCTGGATAGGATCCTTTAAGGAAGCAGGATGTCTCTCCCTTCAAAAAAGTGCTGAGAAGGTGCCTGGGCTGGAAGGGCATGGTGGGAGGCTCCTACCTCAGGATTTGTAACAGGTTTGTAGGGAACTGAGCCCAGGCTTTATGGGAAGGACACAGCCAGGTTTGGGACTGGCTGGTTTGGGGCTGGGCTGTCACAGCAGTAGCTGTACAGGGCTGAGGCTGAGGGTGACAGCTCATGGGGAGATCCAGTGCCATGCACAGTGACATTGTCAGGATCCCACCTACACAGCACAAGGGGAGAGAGGAACCACAGGGAACCTTCCTCTACTCATCTACAAGGGCATGGAGTGATAGGACAAGGGGGAATGGCCTAAAGCTGAAGGAGGGCAGGGTTAGATAGATATTGGGGAGAAATTCTTCCCTGGGAGGGTGGGGAGGCCCTGGCACAGATTGCCCAGAGAAGCTGTGGCTGCCCCATCCCTGGAAGTGTCCAAGGTCAGGTTGGAGCAACCTGGGTTAGTGGAAGGTGTCCCTGCCCGTGGCAGAGGGGTAGAACTGGATTATCTTTTAAGCTCCCTTCCAACCCAAACCATTCCACGACTCCGTGACCTCCAGCAGTTCCACAAGGAAGCCCCACGCAGTGCTCAGCACCAAACCTGCCCTGCAGAGAAAACCTGACACCTGAAGGTCACAACTGGGGTTTGTCCAGTGTCCTGGGGGGCAGGACCACCCCGCTCACCCCCTTTTTCCCCTGTGCCACAGCTCTGCCAGCCCCCAACTCACCGCCAGCCTGTCCTTGACCACGCTGGCCGTGGCGGCGATGGTGCAGGCGGTGTCGTGCTGCACCACCTGGGTGAACTCTGCCAGGTCCCTCTTCATGAACTCCAGGGCTTCTGTGGACTGCAAGGAGACAACAGAGCAACTGTGGAGCCTTTCTGCTCTCCAACAAAGCCACGGTCACTCCAGGAACACCCAGCATGTTACAAAGACTAGAGTGTGAGAGCCTTTAACCCAGCTGAGCCCTTGCCCCAGCCAGGGTAATGAGTAAGACCACAGCAACCAGAATAACAGCAGGATTTGCTGTGCATAAACCATTAAAGTAGGAGTGGTTTTTTTAAGCTAAGAATAGAAAAACACAGGTTGGGAAAAGCCTTGTTCTGAGTGTTGTGTATAATTAACACCAGCAGTGCTGCCACAGGCAGGAAGTTACACACCACAGAGCCCTCCCTGCTTGGGGGAGTGATTCTCATGTGACAGAGCCCAGGGCTGCTCCCTCGAGCCACGAGATCCCTGCACAGCATCCAGGCCCCCCAGCTCCTGGAATTCCAGCCCTCCCAGGCCGTGTTCCAGCCCCGCAGGTCCCACCTTCTCCTTGACGGCCTGGTAGCTCTGCTGCAGCCAACTGCGCCACCAGCCCCCGTCCTCCCTGCGGGATAGGGGGGGACACGGCGTCAGGACACACAGACATGACAAACAGACACACAGACAGACACAGACAGACATACAGACATACACAGACAGACACACAAACACACAGACAGACACACAAACACACAGACAGACACACAGACACACACACACAGACACACAGACACACACACACAGACACACAGACAGACACAGACAGACACACAAACACGCAGACAGACACACAGACACACACAGACAGACACGCAGACGGACACGCAGACACACACACACACACGGAGCCTGAGCCAGAACTCCAGCCCAGACTTGAGAGCCCACACCCAGCCCCCAGAGTACACTGCACAGCCCCAGACCCAACTGCAGCCCCAGCCCCAGCCCCAGATCCCGACCCAGGCCCAGATCTTGACCCCAAACCCCAGATCCCAGACCCAGATGCTGATCCCAAACCCCAGACTCAGATCCCAGACCCTGATCCAAGATCCAGATCCAAGACCCCGACCCCAGATCCAGACCCGGAGCCCAGATCCAGACGCAGATTCAGACTCAGACCCCGAGTCCAAACCTCAGATCCCAGATCCAGATCCAAACCCAGCCCCAGATCCCGGCCCACATCCCAAGCCCAAATCCCAGATCCAGACCCCAGCTCCAGATCCCAGATCCCAGACACCGAGTCAGACCTCGGATCAGCGACCAGAAGCCCCGATGCCGGCCCCACATCCCGGCCCCCCGCCCGTGCCCCACTCACCCCTCCGCCATCTTGGCGCTGTGACGTCACCAATATTTACCGACCCCTCACCCGTGCATCATGACGTCACTTCCTGCCCCGCCCCGGGGGCGGCCCCGGTACGGCGGCCGGGAGGGACCGGGAGCGACCGGCACCGGGCGGAGGTGAGCGGGGAGCACCGGGCGGGACGGGCCGTGGGGCGGGGAGCGATCCCGGTACCGGGCAGGATAAGTCCGGATGGTCCTTGGCGTTCCGTGGGGTCTTGGTACCGGGAAGAACCGTCCTTGACGTTCGGGACACCCTCGGTACCGGGCAGGAAGGTCCTTGGAACAGAGAGGGATGCCGGTACCGGGAAGGTCGGTGCTTGAAGCAGGGAGGGATGCTGGTACCGGAGAGGACGGTCTTTGGCATTCCAGAGCATCCCCGGTACCGGGCAGGACGGTCCTTGGAGCAGGGGGGGATCCCGGTAGCGGGAAGGACCGTTCTTGGATCAGCGAAGGATCCTGGTACCGGGAGGGTCGGTCCTTGGTGTTCCGGACACCCCCAGTGTACCGGGCAGGACAGTCCTTGGAGAAGGGAGGAATCTCGGTACCGGGCAGGACAGTGCGGACGGTCCTTGGTGTCCCGGAGCATCCCCGGTGCCTCCCGCGGGCGGGGGCTGGTGCTGCTGCCCCTGTCCCCGTGTTTCCCTCCTGTCCCCGTGTTTCCCTCCTGTCCCCCCTGTCCCTGATGTGTCCCCCCTGTCCCCGATGTGTCCCCCCTGTCCCCGATGTGTCCCCCCCAGTCCCTGATGTGTCCCCCCTCTCCTTGATGTGTCCCCCTTGTCCCTGGTGTGCCCCTCCTTGTCCCCGGTGTGCCCCCCCTGTTCCTCGTGTGTCCCTCCTGTGTCTCCTGTCCCCGGTATCCCCCCTGTCCCCGATGTCCCCTGTCCCCCGTGTATCCCCGGTGCCCCTTCGGGGGTCCCCGTGGGTCCCCGTTGCTGACGGTGCCCCGTGTTTCCCGGCACAGCCATGGAGGTGCAGTCCTACTACACCAAACTGCTGGGGGAGCTGAACGAGCAGCGCAAGCGGGACTTCTTCTGCGACTGCAGCATCATCGTGGAGGGCCGGATCTTCAAGGCGCACAAGAACATCCTGTTCGCCAACAGCGGCTACTTCCGAGCGCTGCTCATCCACTACATCCAGGACAGCGGCCGCCACAGCACCGCCTCCCTGGACATCGTCACCTCCGAGGCCTTCTCCGTCATCCTGGACTTCCTGTACTCCGGGAAGCTCGACCTGTGCGGGGAGAACGTGATCGAGGTGATGTCGGCCGCCAGCTACCTGCAGATGACCGACGTGGTCAACTTCTGCAAGACCTACATCAGGTCCTCCCTGGACATCTGCAGGAAGATCGAGCGGGAGGCGGCTTTCTACCAGGCGGACAGCGGGAGCTCCACCAGGGAGGGCACGTCCCTCGGCCCCCGGGGACAGTGCCCTGCCCCTGGCTCGTCCCTGCAGGATAAGGAAGGGGTTTCGGGCTGCCAGCGGGACCCCCCGTGCGGGGACTGCAGCAGCTGCCACCCCCTGGAGCTGGTGGTGAGGGACCCCCTGGGCGGCGACTCCCAGGACGGGGTGAACTCCTCGCTGCCCAGGGGGGTGGAACCCAAGGTGGAGTTCGACCCCGACGACGACGACGGGGAGGTGGAGGTGGGCGAGAGGCTGCCCCAGTATCCCGCCCCGCTGTCCCTGGAGCACATGGAGGAGGGGCAGCCCGTGGACCTGGCCTGCAACAACTACCACATGAAGCAGTTCCTGGAGGCCCTGCTGCGCAACAGCTCGGCCCAGAGGAAGGAGGACGTGGTGCAGCACTTTGTGAGGGGGTTTGAGGGCAGGACGGAGGACGCAGGGGTGGCCATGAGCTCCATGGTGGACATTCACAGCGACTGGTATGGTGAGGACACAGGTGAGAGGACCCTGGGGGGGTGCAGGCTGAGGAAACCGCTCAGTTGTGCCCAGACTTCTCTTGTTGCTGCTGTTCTTGCTCAGGAATATGTCGGTGAATGCTGTGGCACAGTGAAATAAACTCTTGTTGTGGACTTCCAAAGCGGCTGTACTTGTTTGTTCAGTGCAGCCCGTGGGAGGTGAGTATCCCCAAGAGCTTCACAGCCCCTCTGGAACAGAAACTGGAGCTAAGTGTGGGTGATTCTGCTCTAATAAACAAACTCACTTGAGACCTCTTTGAATGGCAGGTGAATTTTTAAAGAGAATTTTTTCTCTTGTGGATGGTCATGTTGTAAGGAGCAATCCAGGAGGAGCTGAGCTGCCACAAGAGGGATCTGCTGCAGGACCTGGCACAGCAGAAGGAGCTCATCCCACCGGAGCTCCTGCCAGCACATCTGCTGGGTGATGGTCTCTTTGCTCCTGCTTTGAACTTCAAAGGGCAGAAATCGGTTTAATCCAATACTGAGGGACACCTGCAAGTCCTTTAAAAGCTTTAAACTCTGTGGTGCTGCATAAAGATGAGATTTTTTAGAGGCAAACTCACTTTTCAGCTGTTGGTCACCGAGGTTCCACTGCTGCCCCAAGCCCAGCACTTGTTGGAATGTCTCAGGAATATCTCCCAGGAGCAGTGTCAGGGACCCAGAGAAGAAGAAACTCATGTCCATATGCATTTCCTCTGAAGAGGACAATAAAGATTTGGGCATTTTATCTGTTTTTTTTGATAATTGCCTTGCCCAAACAGCCCTGTGAAGACGGGAGGTGGCTCTGGCAAACTGCAGGTGCCACAAACAGTGAGGATGTGGCAAATGCCACAGTGCCTTGGGCACAGACAGGGCTGGCACTGGGTGCTCTGCCATGCCCAGCAAGTTTGTGCTCACGTCATCTCCAGCTCAGGCCTGCCTCTGTGATCCTAGAGCCAATAAAACAGACCTGTTCTCTCACTGCTTTAAAACAGGGAGCTGATAAAATCACAAAATGCAGTTTTACTGTCCCCAGAAGCTCTCAGGGCTGTCACAGATCACGCCTGTAAATTTTTGATGTGTAGCAAGGCAGGAGCATCAAACACACAAGCTTCTCTTTTTCCTCTCTTAAAATCTCCCAACTGTTTAATAAATCGTTAAAAAGGGAGATGCTTCCAGAATTTGATGGAGAACACCAGGAGTCCTGGCAGTGGAGTAGAAGTGTTAGTGGTAGATGTGCTTTAAGTGGGAGTGAGGGAAAGGAAACCAAGCCCTGCATTCCTTGTGTTTCTCTGCTAAAACAGGACATCATAAGCATTGAGGAGAATGGGAGTTTCTCTTCCCAGCTTTCACTGGTGCTGCTGCCTCAGCATTTTCACAAGACACCAGGAATGAGAAATACAAAGTCCTGACAGAGGAATGGTGCACTCAGGCTGGCACAGGAGATGAATACTACTTATATTTTTGAGTGTCCACATCTGTTCTTGTCATCCTGGTCCCCTTTACAGCAGGTGGAGGGTAAACAGGCACCTCTAGAGAGCCTGGAAGCAAGTCAGGACTAAGAACTGGGTTTGGTTTTTATTTTTAATGGAGCTTTAAGTGCCCAGCAGGGATTAGCAATACCTTTTGAAGGTCCAGAATTGGGTGAGGTGGCTCTCACTCACATGCCATTAATATTAGACACACCTTTTTTGATAGTGGGTTGGATAAACCTTAATAAAGGGATGTTCTGCAACCTCAGCTGCTTGTGGAAGAGCTCAAGGCCCTGAATCAGTGCCTGAAACAGGGAAAACTAATCCTTTAGCATCACATCCCCACCCTTCTGCTGGAAGGGAAGCTCACCCCTGGCTGATGCTGACAAACCTGGCAATACTCACGTTGGTGTAAAATGTGACCTTCACGTTTAATTCTCTTTTTGCACCTGACCTCATAAATTGGGTATCACCTGTACTTTGATTTTAGGAACAGTGAAATACCATCACCAAATGTACTGGAGTCCTTTAGCCTGTTGTTATTCCCAACAGGAAGGCTGAAGTGAATGGCAGGAGAAACAAGTGTTGATGTTTTGAGATGGGTTCCCCACATTTAAGTATAAGATCACATGGGGCACAGTGCAGTGTTCCTACCTGCAATTTGTGTTAAAAGATTTTAGTTCCTGATGCTGTTTCATGCTAAGGGTTTAATAATAATTAAAAAAAAAGGAAGTAGGAAAGTTTTGTGGTTGAGATGGAGCAGAGACCCTCCTGCACTAAAAGCAGGAGGGTCACTTAAAGGCTTCTTAAAATAAAATGAATGTTTTCCTGTTGTGGGTATCAGCTGTGTAAGGCTCATTTCCAAGGCACTTGGGCATCTGCAGCTGCACCAATGTCTGCAACTGCACAGGCTGAGGGAATTCCAGGTAAGCCCAGCCCAGGGACAGGGGAGGTGCAGTTCCCTGGGCTGGGATCTGCGGGAGCAGGACGGGAACCCCCCCCCAGCAGTTCCCAGCGGTGCTGCCCCTGCCTGACCCGCTGCTCTGTGTGTTTTCTCTTTCCCCCTTAAAGGTGACGTGCTGGTGGTGCCAATCAAGCTGCACAAGTGCCCCTTCTGCCCTTACACGGCCAAGCAGAAGGGGATCCTGAAGAGGCACATCCGCTCCCACACCGGGGAGAGGCCCTACCCCTGTGAGACCTGCGGGAAGCGCTTCACCCGCCAGGAGCACCTCCGGAGCCACGCCCTGAGCGTGAGTCTGGTCCCGCGTCCATCGGGAAATTTGGTTTTTTTGGGCATTTTCCAGCCGCGTTTCCCGAAATACGTCGGATGAAACGGCCGAGGCAGGCTCAGGGGAGTTTAGCTGCTGTCAGGTTTCTAATAATAATAATAAGGTTAAGCCACTGGTATTTGCTTCAAGAACTTAGGTATTTGGTTCATGAGGTGTTTGATATTTGGTCCGTTAGGTGAGGTACAGGGAAGGAATTCTCCCCTGTGAGGGTGGGGAGGCCCTGGCACTTTACTTTGAGAAGTAAAAATGAATCTTGCTGCCTGAACTTTGAGGGAAGGCGAATTTTCTATTGGGAAAGGGAAGGAAAATATGGTTAAAACCCACCCCTTTGGGCCCTTACCTCCTTTCTCACTGTCATAGTGTGAGGCATCAAACTGGGCATCGTCACTGGGCAGCTGCACACTCGCTATGACCAGGTGATTCTGCTCATCTGTGGGTACTGAAATCTTTGCCTTCAGGTCTGCAAGGGGAGAGGAGCAAAGCAGGGGTCACAAACACTGGGCTGATTACAACAATATTTTTTTATTACAGTTTCTGACAGAATAAGGATCTTCAAATTTATGGTTGTTTTCCCATCCCAATGAAAAACCTGCTTCCTCTGGAGGAAATCACTTATCACAGCTCAAGGTGTCCCACAAGAAAGATGGAGAGGGACTTTTTACAAGAGCACGGAGTGCCAGGACAAGGGGGAATGGCTTCACACTTAAAGGAGCAGATTTAGATGGGATATTGGGAAGAAATCCTTCCCTGTGAGGGTGGGGAGGCCCTGGCACAGTTTCCCAGAGAAGCTGTGGCTGCCCCATCCCTGGAAGTGTCCAAGGCCAGGTTGGAGCAAGCTGGGCTAGTGGGAGGTGTCCCTGCCCGTGGCAGGGGGTGGAACTGGATGAGCTCAAGGTCCTTCCCAACCCAAACCATCCTCTGATTCCATGACTCTTACACAGCCCAAACCTTTGTGTCTGGAAACGTGGGATCACCCCCCCTTCAGCTCCAGCGTAGCCGCTCCCCCACTCTGGGAAATATTTCCAAACTAGCAGGTTGCTGCTTTTTTTTTTTTTTTTTTCCTTTTTTATCCCAGCTTGTCTCCCCTTTTTCTCCCTGCAGGTTCACCGCTCCAACAAGCCCATCATCTGCAAGGGCTGCAGGAGGACCTTCACCAACAGCCTGTCCCCGGGGCTGCGGCGCTTCGGGCTCTGCGACAGCTGCACGTGCGTCACCACCACCCACGAGGACTCGGTGCCCATCAACCTCAGCCTCGTGGAAACGGCCTCTGAGGGCCAGGAGAAGGGGGAGGCCGACAGCGACTGGCCCATCTACGTGGAATCCGGGGAGGAGAACGACCCGGCCGACGAGGAGGAGGAGGAGGAGGGGGATGACAAGCAGGAGATCCACAGGAGTTTGTCGGACAGGGAAGCGCTGATGTAGCAGTGGGAGGGGAGAGGGAGCACCGGGAGCCTCCCCTGGCAGCAACAGAAAACTGCACGTTTGCCCCAGTTAGTGACACTGTGCTGGTTTTTATTCCTTTTTTTTTTTTTTTTTTAATAGAACGGTGGGGAAAATCGGAATTTTTAACGCTTTTTAAGTCTTCAGTGCTGTGCACCAGAAATCTGTGAAGAATCTCCTGTCTGGGGTTCACAGAGCTTGGACTTGAGCAATTTCTCTGCCTCTCTGGTTTTGAGTTTGCAGGTGGTGGGACATCTCTGTGTTGTTTTGATAACAGGTTTCTTCAAACAGTGCTGTTGTGGTCCTCAATCCCTGACCTGAAAGGGGCACCACCTTCTCTCTGAAGATGACATGAAATGTAGCTTACATCTGAAGATGACATGAAATGTAGTTTACATCTCTTACCTTGGGACTTTTTAAATCTTTAAACTGTGATCCTTCCGTGTCAGGACAGTATTACCTAAACTGTAAACCGGGAGTGTTTGCTTGGACTGGGTTTGACCTGGAAACCAGGGCAGAAAAACCAGGATAACAAAAATATGCTGCTGCTGAAGGGATAGACAGTAAGAATAGTTGTATTTCACGTGTCCTTAATCGCAGGAATTTGGAGATCAAGTTTCTCTTCCTGAATTTTTACTGCATCTTCCTCTCTCAAGAGCTCGGGCTGCAGATCTTCAGATGTGTCTTTAATGTCACTTAGACATCAGTATTCTTGGCTTGGGAAATATTAAGCAAATTATGGTGTCTGGTGGCCTGGTCTCTTGGTTTAGAAGTGTGAAATGCCCAAATTCTCTTCAGCTTTTTACAGCAGGAGTTAAAAGCTGTCGAGCAGGTTCCTTGGGAATTCTGACACTGACAGATTAGAAAGTAGATCCACAGCTGGTGTGGCTGAGGAGCAGTAAAGTATCCAGATCTGCTGTAACAGAGCTCTGAACACCCTTTTTGAATCCCTTTCACTATAATTTCTTTTAGAATTTGGGGATCCTTCTCATGGTTTATGTTGCTGTGTGAATTTCCCTGAGTATTTATTTATTTTTTAAAAAAAAAAAACACCTCCACTGTGAACCTCCTGTTTCTTTGCTGGGATAGCTCAAGGTTTTCAGTTGATATAAGCTATCAAAAAATCAGGCTGGGAAGCTTTGGAAGAAAACACACCACCTGTTGGCTTAGGGGTGACCTCCTGTTCCCTAAGGAAGGGACAAAACTGAAATATACTGTGAAATAAGACTGTTAATGCTTCTTTACTCTGCTGTTCATAAGTGTTTCATGAGAAGGCAAATTTTGAGTCTTTCTAGCTGGAGCAAAGGCTGGACCAGAAATCTGCAGACAGATTTGGCTGACAAAGGATGAGCAGTTCCTCCCACTTAAGGCAGTGTTGAGGCTTTTGGTGTAAAGGCTTCGCTCTTGGCAAACCTAAAAAAAAGCAAAGAGCCCTCTGATTTAACCCTGTTTTAGTCCATCTGAATTTAAACCACCAAAGGGACCACTTATGTAGGTGCCAGACTTGGAGCTGAGCTCCTCTGAAAATCCTGCTGTGGTTTTGGGGTCCTTAGTGCTCTTGAAAATCCGAGCCAGAGGTGGGCTTGTAAATCTTGCTGGAATGTTGAAAATGCCACCTCCGGCCTCCCAGGGCTTGTCTTTTGGGACTTCTGGGCTCCTGCTCGATTTTTTGGTGAGTCCCTCCAACATCAGAGGGGTGTTTGTTTGGTATCTGCTTGTCTGATGAAGGAGGGACTTGTGCATGTGAGAGCACCTGAAAGAGGGACACGAGGGATCTGGGTTTGCTGGGAGACTGGTGGAATGTAAATAGGGATCCAAAAGGACACTCGGTGACCAGACATCCCCATTTCTGGTCGTGAAGGTGCCACCTCATTGTAAATATTGGTAGAAGCCACTAGACATGGAATATCAGCCCAGCCTGGCTCTGGCCAGTGCTCCACAGCTGTGGGAAGGTGCAGCTCCTGGCTGAGCCCGCGGGGACACTCAGAGCAGGGAAAACCAACCTCTTGGGAAGTCTGAGTGTGGCGAGAGAGCTGCGGGTGTGTCTGCAGAGACCTTTTCCTTCAACCTGCTGTTCTTTGGTCTTAGAGATTGTTCTTGTGTGTCTTGTGCCTAGAGAATGGAGCTGTGAGGGGTGAGGGGAGGGGGGGGTTGGCCGTGCACATTCCACGTGGAAAGTCACCACCAAACTCGTGTTTCCTGTTGGAATTGTCATGTTGTGCTGCTTTGTTTCCTATGGAGTCCTTCAGCCTTTGTAGTAGAAGAGGATGTAGTTTACCCACATTCTTGTGACCTGGGGGGGGGGAGGGTGGGTGTTCATGTAAATCTGTTTTTCTCGTGCTTTCCACTTAGTTTTTTGGGTGTTTTTTTTCCCTGAAATCTTCCGTTGTAGATCCAGCCTCTACAAGCTTTGAGAAAATGATGTGGCTGTTTTGAAATGGTGCTTGGTGAAGAATCAAAAATAATGTTTTTAGGAAAGTTATTTCTAATGCAATCTCTTTCTCAAAGGTTTTTAAAGGCCGTGCAGAACGACATATCTTCAAGTCTTAGCTTGATGTACTTGACTTTGTTTAGGAATGTACATTTTAATGTATTTTTGCACATAATTGCACTGTATTTCACTGGAGGAATACATGCTGCACTGGTATTTGTAGCTCATTTAACCTCTTGGTGCAAGCCCTTGTAAATCTTCCAAACGTGGTCATTTGATTTCCTGATGTTTTGTAAGACAGTTTCATAACTGAAGTCCTTTAGTCCAGTTACAATGACAGATTCTTATAAACTGAACCTTATTTGTAGGAGTGACTGAACTATATTTGTGGATCTTGGAGCATTCTGGAGTTTTTTTGATTGTCTAGAAAATAAAACTCTCTGAGAGGGTTGCTTTGATTTTTTTACCATTCAGATGTTGACTGAGTAAACCTGGGAGTGTCTAGATTAAGGCTCACGTTTCAGTTTCTGGGATTAAAATTACAAAATAACTATCTCCACTTAATTAACCCAATTAAAAAATGGGTATATCCATTCCTGGGGACAGACAGTTTGCAAGAAGAATCAGGTTCTTGGTAGGAAAGGACTAAAAGGATCCTGTCCACTTGAACCCCAGCCAAGTGGGTTTTTTAGAAAATCTTTTGTATTATTAACACTGACTTGGCTTTTCAAAGTCTTTGTAGTTTTATACTAATTGAACTTTTTAAACTCTGTAAAGCTTTTCATTTTTCATGCTGGGAAGCAGCCACTGACCTGAGCTAGGAGGAAAAGCACGTGGGGGCAACAGACTCCCAAATGTTCTTTCCAGATAATTTTGAATTATACTGGAAAATCCACGAACAAAACTGTATTTCCCTGTTGATTTAGAATATCCTGAGTCAGTGAAAACTGTAACAACCCTTTCTTGCTTTTCACTGTTTTCCTTCAAAGAGGAAATATAAATCTCGTGGCAAGCACACAGGTTTTCCATCTTTTTCCACGGAAGATGTGAGGTGCTGCAGCACTCGGGGGGAATGAGGGCCACAGGTTTGTCTCCATCCTTGGTGAAAAGGACTTTTTGTGGGGGAAGAAAAGCAGGAAAGCAGAGCAGGGCAGCCAAGGGCCATCAGAGGGTGAGCAAAGAACCCTCTTCGGTGATCCGGGGAGGAGGTTGTACCAGCAAGAAGAATGTTGGGTTTTTTAGAGTCATTTGTAAATTGTTCTCTGAAAGAGAGACCTGTGAGGGTGGGGAGGCCCTGGCACAGGTTGCCCAGAGAAACTGTGCCCTCCTAGCTTGGCACAGGTTGCCCAGAGAAGCTGTGGCTTCCCCGTCCCTGGGAGTGTCCAAGGCCAGGTTGGATGGAATGTCTGCAGTTCATGGAAGGGAAGGGCAAAAAGGACACAAAGGACACGGTTAAGGCAGAACGGCTTCCATGGGAAAATAAATATTTATGGGATATAACTGGGGTGCGAAAAGCACGGGAAAAAAAGGCCCTGGTGGTAAGAAGAGGAAGGAAAAAAAAAGATAACCAAACTTGGAAGGGGAGAAAGCGAGAGAGGTTCAGGTTTCGCCTTTCAGACCCAGAGATAACAGATCCCGACAGAGAAAAGAAGATGTCACACGTCCTTCGGAGGGAGCCGCAAGAGAAAAGGGGGAAGGATTTGGGGTCACCGCTGTAGATAAAAGGTGCGAAAAGGCGGCGTTGTAGGGCATCCCCATCCCCTGCGGGGCATCCCGGGCTCCGGGTCTGCGGCTTCCAACGGGGTGCGTTGCCCCTTTAAACTGTGTGTCCCCAGCCCTCGGGCGTCCGTGTCCAACGCCCACGTCAGCAAATACCTTTTGTTTCTTCTCCCCCTTTTGCTCGGGCTGGCGGGGCGCGGGGGGCTGCGGGAAGAGGAGGAGGAGGAGGAGGCGGCGTCGCCTTGCAAAGGCACGGCGAGCCCCGAGGCGGGGCCCCCGGGGGGGATCCCCCCTCACGAAACCCGCCCGCTCGCCGCCCCCCCCCCCCCCCCCCCCGGCCCGGCGGCGGCAGCGCCCGCGACACCCGAGCGCTGGTTCCCGCACACCCGGTAGGCCGGGCAGGGCGGCGGGGGTTTGGGGCGGGGAAGGGGGACACGGGGAGAGGCGGCGGTGGAGGGTGAGGGGGGGGGGGGGACGCGGTAGCTCCGGCGGGCACCGAGCGGCTCCGGACGGAGCCGCTCGGTGCCCGCCGGAGCTGCCGCGTCCCCCCGCCGGGCGCCATTTGCAGCCCCGGGCGCGGCAACAAAGGGCTGCGGGAGCGGGCGGTGGGTCCGGCGCTGTCGGGCACCGAGCGGCTGATTTGGGTGGTGGTGGATGCCGGTGCCTTGGAGAGAGAGAGAGAGAGAGAGAGGGAGAGAGAGCGGAGCCCGGGCGGAGCGGGGCGATGAGGGAAGAAGAGACGGGCACGGCCGCGGCCGCAGCCGCAGCTGGCTCTTGGCTGCTCGTCTCGTCGGAGCTGCCTGAAGGCTGCGCAGCCCCCCGCGGGCGGCACGGATCCAGCCCTGCATACAGCCCCCTGCATACAGCCCCCTGCATACAGCCCCCATCCTACCCCACGTCCAACCCCGCATCC